AGAGAGAATTCCCATGGAAATTATGAATAGATTCTTATATCATCATTTTTTTTTCAGAAATCTTCTCCTTACAGCCTATTTTTATAGCGAAAAAAATAACCCAAGGTAAACGATATATTCCTCCACTCTAGAAAATCTTGATGTACTTACGAAAGTTTTAGTTATATACTTCTTGGATCCTCCAGTTGGTCTCCTCCTATTTCGAGGTTCTAGTCTCCTCCTATTTCGAGGTTCTATATCCTGTTGTGCCCTTCAAAGATCCTGATCTTTTATTTCCTAGTACGTTAATTTTCTTCACGTGAGGATAAAAGGTGTCGTACCTTCAACAGGAAATTAGAATAACCCTACAAAGTCCACAGGGAAAAAAAATCCTTATCTAAGTTTTTTTATCTCAAAAGAAGGTTGTTCTTTAGGTTGTTCTTGTGTGTCGCGTGAATTTGTTGTTCTTATATTGTTTTGAGTACACAGATACCAATGGCGTTGTGTAAGTGGTATTTTCTTCTTCTCTCTTAAGTTCTTTAAAATAAAAAAAAGGAGACTTACGAGTGTTTCCTGCGCGTTGAATATTTGAGACACTGTCCTAATCTTAATTTTGTGACCTTGAAGTGACTGAACACTAAAATCATCAAACCAAAGCGTTTCGTATTCTCTAATTCTTGATTCTTATAATCGCGCTTTTCAAATTTTACGTTACTGCATCAGAAAAGCGCGTTTAAAATAGCACGTGCATTCGTAATTCAAATACATATTTTCAACTTTCCATTATTTATTCATATTTTATAGTGGCAATTAAAAGGCGGCTCAGAGGTAACCTTCAAGGTTTACAACGCTAGAATTTGTGATTCGATCGTCTCGGCGGATAGCATTTGCGCTGAAATAAAACCACAAAAAGTCTCCGAATTCAAGGCCTGGCATGGCCTGGTGGTTAGGGCACTTGACGCTCAATCTGAGGGTCACAGGTTCTAATCCCCGTCACACCAAACATGCTCGCCCTTTCAACCAACAGGACTTTGTATTGTAACGGTCAATCACACTATTCGTTGGTTAAAGGGTAGCCCAAGCGTTGGCGGTGATTGGTGTTGACTAGTTGCCTTCCCTCTAATCTATCACTCTTAAACTAGGGACGAATAGCACAGATAGCCTTCGTGTAGCTCTGTGCAAAATTCAAACCAATCTGATTTCAAATGGTCTTAGATATAAAGTAACTGATTTCACTCAAGTTATAACAACTTCAAGAAAATGAAAACATCCCATGGGTAAGCTTCAACTGTCAATGATAAATAGATGGTTTTGGGTCACCCTCATCTGGAATTTCACTGTCTATATATGAATATAGTTTGATATCCAGCTAAAAGTAACGACATGCTACACGTAACTTAGGTAGGTCTTGTACAGTGTTGTGTAATATTGTTATATTTATGAATAAAAGACTTGTTGTTGTCAGGCTAATGCCAGTTGTCTTAAACTTTTAATTCGATGTATCTTACCATAATGCTTTATACTTCTTTAAGAGGGTAAAAACAAATGAATAGAATGTATAAGCAGCGTTATAAAGTTTAGAAGGTTTCTTATGATTCATTTACCCCAATGAGATATATTACTGAAAGAATAGTTGTTCTTAAGTTTTACCATTGCTACAGAAAACCTGATTCATTTACCCCAATGAGATATATTACTGAAAGAATAGTTGTTCTTAAGTTTTACCATTGCTACAGAAAACCTGATTCATTTACCCCAACGAGATATATTACTGAAAGAATAGTTGTTCTTAAGTTTACCATTGTTACAGAAAATCTGATTCATTTACCCCAATGAGATATATTACTGAAAGAATAGTTGTTCTTAAGTTTACCATTGCTACAGAAAACCTGATTCATTTACGTTTTCTTGCGAAATCTCATAAAACAATCTCTAATTTATTCAAACAATTAGAATATTAGGTTACGACAGTTGTAAATTATGAATCATTAAGAGTGGACACCAGGAAATCAACGCTATGTTTTAAAATGGAAATCATGAGATAAAAGAAAAGTCATGTTTTGTCCCTGCACTTGACCTCGTTGTCCAGCTTTTTTTTCTTTCTAATTTGTATTTTAGTGTTATTACTGGTGAGCTTGAATAACTTATAGATCTTTCTTCCACCTCTGCTTCTCGTCCAAACTTGTTG